GGCAGTTTTGGTGTCTACCAGCTCTTCCAGGTGGTTGTTAGGAGTCACATTTTCTCTGTAGCTTTTAATCAGTTTTTTAAAACTCCTGTTTTTTCACTTTGACTTTCTTCTTCCTTATACAAGTGGATTATCTTATATCTAATCTCTTCAGAAATATCTTGTATCTAATAGCTGTTTGACTGGAAATGAAATACGTGAAGGGTGGTAACCAAAAGTAAAAGGGTTAGAAGTTCATATTTTTACAAAATGAAACATGAACAATTTGCAAAAAATCACTTTACAGAGCTGGGAGGATTTGTTGGTCCTGTTATGTTTTGAGCTGACCTGCAGGATGTCATACAGACCATATAAATCAAATAGAGTACTCACAGACTGTGTGTATATACTGGGGGCATTTACTGTTTTATGGCTCAAAGCTTTGAGTCTCTACAGTGCCTTACTGGAGCATAAAGACATTTACATGCTGCTTCACAACAGCTTTAATATTTCAGAAGTTACAGCTGCAATTCCAGCAGATTTTACTGTAAAAGTCTTGTAGGTTGAAGGGTTACTAGGCTTCTGTGCACTGTGCACTGTTACTGCGGTGCTTTAAGGTCTTTAAAGCTTTAAGGTCTTTTGATGATAGATATAAATACTTTAACGACTTCATGTTGCCTTGATATCTTGGCGAAGCTCCTCTTATTATAAATCTCACCCTCACTCACCTTCAAAATGTCCAGAGGGTCATTATAGAAGAGCTGAATGTGCAGTTAAGCACCACAGACAGCCACCAGGCCACTCTCTCTCTCTCTCTCTCCTCTCTCTCTCTCTCTCTCTCAGTGATTATGAGGGATTATGTGTCCCTCAGTATATTGTCTTTATAATGGTAGCTAATGTCACTGCAGTTTCCTGCTTTTAGGGTCAGTGTTGTCCACAGTTTCTGGATCGTGTTGACATATGGCTTCTTCTTTGCATGATACAGCTTTAACTTGCATTTGTGCATTGCACGGCAAACTGTGTTCACAGACAATGGGTGGATTCAGGGTGGATTCTCTCCACATCATCTCTATATATCTTCTATTCAACGTGCAACTGACCTAATTCAAATTAGCCAACGGGTATAAACTGTTTTGTTCTATGGAAAAAAAATTCCATAACATGTTTGAAAATCACCCTGTGTGGTTAAACACATTTAAAAGCCTGGATGTTTTGTCCAATATACATTTTTCCTCAAAATAACATTGTGAATGGTCCCTATTTGAATGGTTATTAAGTTGCAAGCTCATTAAATACACTCTTAAATAGATGGTTCTTCAAGGGTTCTTAAATAAAGAAAGTGGCTCTATGTAGAACCATGAACACTCAGAGAATCTTTTGCATGATTAAAGGATTCTATGCATCGTCAAATGGTTCTTCAGATTGATGGAGAATATGCTGTACATGGTTCTGTATAGAACCCCTGTTGAAAACCTTTTTTGGTACTGTACAGAGCCCTTTTGGCTAAGAATGTAGTTGAAATTGGATTATTGTGACATACATCTTACATTAAAGCCAACACATTTTATTGGTCATGCGCAAACCAGCAACTTGACTTTCATGTATAGTATCAGTCAAAAGTTTGGACACATCCTCAGAGCAGATTTTTGAAATGGCAATTTAGCAAATTCTTTACTCTTCCAGCTGAAGATAAAGTCATCAAGCACTACTACATCACAAATAAGATCACGAGAATGTAAACTAGAATGGTATGTTGATGTGTCAACAGCTATTTTCAGAATTACTATTTTGTAAGGAGTTTTTAAGGTATAATCAGCTAGTTAGAAAGCTAACATCATTAGCATTTATGCTAGCCCCCACAGAATGAGTGTTTTCACATTCAACAGAGGGAATTACCCAAATTAGATGCTTTAGAGTTTCACAAAACTACCAAAATTGGTATGGTTATTATGACGGTTCCAGCTGTGTCTCAAGCAGGGGGAACTAGAACCATAGGTTCTTTTGGTTTGGGTCAGTTTTTATTTTTGAATTTGCATTGAAAAAATGCCCAAAATTATAAATGAAAGTTACTTGTTGAAAAGAAAAAATGTTTTAAGTACAAACTTTTACAACCCCATATCCAAAAAAGTAAACTATATTTTTAAAGGAAGATACTACAAAGACAACAAATCAAACGTTAAAACTGAAAAATATTATTGTTTTTTTGAAAAATATATACCTATTTTGCATTAAAATCAAGTAGATCAAAATGTCAAAGAGTTTTGACTGGTACTGTTTTTGACTGGTACTGTTTTTGACTGGTACTGTGACTTAGTGACATAATTTCATTATTTGAAGGTAAATTCCAAATTCTGCATAATTAAATGTTAATGTGTATATAAGGTCTTTCAGGGTGGTTTAGTGTGAAATGTCCCATTGTAGAAAAACGTACCGAGACAGAATTGTTCACAGTTGTGATGATAGGAACCAGACGTCTACCTCTAAAACTTCCCTCACAGGAAGATATTACATGAAATTCCTGCCTCAGACATTGACTTATGATAGTTCTGAGATAAAGATTCGGCCTGCATGCAGGGTAGAGGGGTGCATTCTTGGCACAAAGGCACAGGCGTATGCAAAACTTTGAAAATTGCAAGTCAAATTGCATGTTGTGTCCCCTGTAGAGGGTGTGTTAACTTATTATCACTGTCATTTGACCAGGGATGTTTCAGCTTTGGCACATATGGCCCTATACAGCTTCACACAGTGGTGGTCTTCAGAAGCTTAATGCACGTCTGCACACGCACAGAGAACTCTCCGCATGCTTGCTGCGGCGAATAAGTTGCGATGGACAGGTGTTGTGTGAAAATTAGTCAGGTGGCTCCCCGTTTGACCTCGTTAACTTCCTGTGAATGAGACCAGCGTCTCCATGGTTACTACTAGATGGGCTGACGAACAGGCTGTAATAACTGCTCTTTGACCCGTCTGTTAGAGAGGTGTTTGATTAGCTCTTGTGTGAATGTGCATAGTGGGGGTCTATTATCAGCATCATAAAAGTGTCCTGACATTAATTTCCCCTTAATATTTTGATAGTGTGGTATTTTCAATAATGATAAATGACTGAACAGGTTCGGCTGTGTGAGTCATGGCTGTATATGTGGACTAATGGCCCGAGATTAAACATAACAATAATAGTTAATAAATAAATAATCAAGTCAGTGTTTCATTAATTAGTTACAGAATGAAGCGGGTCGTTACTGTTGATTATGTTAATAATAGAGTAATCTGATTATTCTGATGAACAGATGTGTTAAAAACAACACAACTCACATTGTGTTCTTTTGGCCTCAATGCACCACAACAAACTCAAAAAATAGACAAACTCAATTAATTTATATGTATGAATGAGTGTATTTAAAATTTTTTATCATTTATTTTTAACGATTTCTTTATCATCTAGAAGTAATGCTACCAATGTTTTTACCTATTAGATGAAGCTTTTGTAGCTTTAGCCCAAGTTTGGAGCTTTTATTCAGACTTTTATATTGAAAATTAGAAGCAATTTACTCAGAATGTTCTAAATTATTATTCTGATTTGCTGTTATGAGGACTGTATATGAAAAAATGGTAGCGTTAGCATTACAATCCTGCTTAATGACATCCAAAACTTGGTGCTGTCCAACAAAATGGCGCCTACCAAACGTTAGCTAGCTTGCTTGTTTGCTTGTTGTTTGTCTCTCAAAGCACTTTTTACAGCGGCTTTTACTATTACATGTGAATTTACCCACGCGTCATGACATCTAAATACTAGCTACATTAGCTGCTGGAACAAAGTAGCTCCTGGCTAATGTTAACCAGCTAGCAAGCCTACAGTTTTCAGGCTAACGGACACGGCCACTCTCGTGGTGATTTTTCACTGGATTGTTAGCATTTTAGGCTTATGTTATGTGAGGACTTCTAACAAAATTATTTGAGCCATGCTTTATTACTTTAAGAACTTAGCTACATAGCTAGCGCTTTCAATAAGGTGCCTTGCTAACGTTAGCTAGCTAGTCTGTTGTTTTTAGCATGTCTAAAGTAGAATTTACTTACTCTTGCAAGTTTTTTCAATTAATTGTTAGCATTTTAGGCTGACATTATGTGAGGACTTCTAACAAAATTATTTGAGCCATGCTTTATTACTTCAAGAACTTAGCTATATAGTCAGCCCTGTCAGTAAGGTGCCTTGGTACTATTAGCTAGCTAGTCTGCAGTTTTTAGCATGTCTAAATAGAACTCTCTCACTCTTGTAATGTTTTTTTTCTCTGAATGTTTAGCATTTTAGGCTTATGTTATGTGAGAACTTGTAACACAATTATTTGAGCCGTGCTTCATGACTTCAATAACTTAGCTACATAGCTAGCACTTTCAATAAGGTGCCTTGCTAACATTAGCCAGCTAGTCTCTATGCCATTTTTTTCTCTAACTAACTCGTGTCAGCTCTCCAGATATCTCTCTAGTGTCATTCTGAATAAAAGATCAGACTCTTGGTCTTTGCCAGAACTGTGTAGCTAAAGCTAACTACATAGTATTTTCTTCTTGGTGTTGCTACCATTAGCTAACTTAGCTACGAGACTGTCAGCCATGTGTTGAAAGCTAAATTAGCCTTTTAGCTAGGTAAGTTTACCTCAGGTAAACAGCTAAGGAAATAGCTAACTTTATCGTCTTATAACACAGCAAATATTAATTATAAGGCCTGCAAGGTTATTGATCCATGATAAACTTTAGTGTGACAGGTTTATTGTTGCTATTTTCACAACACGAAAACAATAAAAATGGACCAATAACCAACTGCATGATCGTCATGAATACTGCCCAGTGTTCATCAATAAGGTACATGATTTTCAGTGTGTGAGATCAACTGAGTAATTGGGAAAGTCTTAAAGTAAAAATTACTGACAAGAATAGATGGAATGTAAGTAGTTCAGTGTTGAGGAAAGTACAAATCCTTCAAAACGAGTGTAAGGAACTGAGCGTCTGACTGATCTTCTGTTCTCTGATTGCAGCAAGTGATGCTGGCCATCCGAGCAGGAGTGAACCCTTCAGGGAATTCATCCAATCAGACGAGTTTATGGGACCTGAGCAGCTCCTTCTTCTTCGCTGGGACTGTTATCACTACTATAGGTAAGACACCCCCACACACACACACACACTCACACACACACACATATATATCACTGCTTTAGACACTGAACGCTCAGCCTTCATTTCACTCAGTCACCACTCAGTCATCGTCTCTTGGATTGGCCGGTTCGATCCCCTCAGCTGACAGTGTGTGAGTGAAGTGCCCTTGAGCAAGGCACCTAACCCCCAATTGCTCCCCGGGCCCTGTGGATAGGGCTGCCCACCGCTCTGGGCAAGTGTGCTCACTGCCCCCTAGGTGGGTGTGCTCACTAGTGTGCATGTATGTGGGTGTTTCACTGCACGGATGGGTTAAATGCGGAGGTCTAATTCCTCTGTGTGCAAACACAGTTGGCTGATGGTTCTGAATTCTAATTCTAATTCTATTTTCATTATTAAACATGCAACCATAACTACATTGTAATTTTAAATTCTATAAACAAAGTGCAAAAGTATTGTTATATATTGCTATAATATTATTAATATTATTTGCCTTTTTCCAAGTACTTTTGTAACAACAAGAAGTTTTCAAACTTTATTAAACGCTAAATAATGTAATGTAACTGTAATTACCTATTTATAGTGATCTGTATATAAATTGAATTTGATTTTTTTTTAATGTGATGCACTATGGAAATGCAATTTATTAGACCTGGATATTAATTTTATTAGAATTTAATTCTCCATTTTAATTGTTCACTTATTTCAATGTAGGTTTTAAATTTACTTTAATTATTTTTTTTATGTTAATTCTATTAAAACTTTACTCTAGATATTAATTTTATTAGAACTTCATTTTCCATATTACTTTTTCTATGACTTCAATCTAGATTTTAAGTTTTTGGTTTTGGGTATTAAGTTTATTAGAACCTAATTTTAGGTATTTATTTCATTTTCATTGTGGAGATTATGTCAGTAGAATTTCATTCTGAATAATACTTTTATTACAACTTTGCTTTGGATATTAATTTCATTTTAATCTCATTCTGGATGTTTATATTGTAGCTTTATTCTAGATGTTAATATTCTGCAGCATTCTCAGTCATTTTAGAATCATCTGCAGTTCTGTTTATTATTTTGAACACATCTAACTATGTTGTTTTAATTTTATTTTTAAATGTATTTTTTTATGTTTATTTATTTTTACCCTATTTGATTCACACCTGCTAGCTAGGTCTCCCCTATCACATGATGCTACCCTGCTGGGAGGGTGAAGGCTAGCATGTGCTTCCTCTGAGACATGCAAAGCACCACCACATCTTATCAACCTGCCACTGGGGGGTAGAGGGGGGACTATCAACACTCTGGAGGGAGAGCGCCAACAGTTCTGTTACATCAGCTGACAGACACCCACATTGACTAGCATCACGTTAAGTGATGGAGGGAGAGGGAGGACCATCCTACTCAATGTTTACATTTAATGTCTCTCTGTTGTGTTGGTTGTGCTTCTGACTTTTGGCTTGCTGGTGGGGGGCATTTAAGGGGTTAAGGCTACAAAGAGAAGACTAGAGCCTAACAATCTTCAGCTCCTGTGCTGATAGAGGCTAGATAGACAGCGATGTTTCACTGCAGTGCCCCAGGGGAACCCAACACTAGAGGAATTTTTGCCCCCCTGAGTTTTTACTCAGCTTGTGTGAGGCTGTCGTTTCACTGTTGTAACATTGCTTTTCCTGGACTGTGGGTTTAGGTTACTCTACCCACCATTTTCGGAACATCAAACTGTTCCAAAAGTAGAAAAGTTGCTAACCAGCCCACAATGTTTGGACAGCTTTGTATCCACCCATGCTTTACAGTGTTTTCTGCACCTAGTGCCACCTCCTATATAGAAAAAGCTCAAAACTGATCCTGAATCATAGCTCCTGCTCGGGACACATTAAATATGATAAATAATATTCTACTTGTGGTTGTCATTGTTTTTATGGAGCTCACTGAGTGTCCTAAAGAGAGAGAGAGAGAGAGAGAGAGAGAGAGAAAACAAAACAGAGAGAGGAGAAAGGAGAGAGAGATAGAGAGAGAAAGAGAGAGATAGAGAGAAAACAAAACAGAGAGAGGAGAAAGGAGAGAGAGATAGAGAGAGAAAGAGAGAGATAGAGAGAAAACAAAACAGAGAGAGGAGAAAGGAGAGAGAGAGAGAAGAGAGAGAAAATACAGAAAGAGAGTGACAAAATGGAGACCAAGAAAAAGAAAGAATGAAAAAAGAGAGAGAGAGAAGAGAGAAAGAAACAGAGAGGAGCAAGAAAAAAATAAAAATAAATAAATCAAATAGAGAAAAAGAGAGTGAGAGGGAAATAAAGAGTGAGTAAAATTTAGAGAAAAGAGAGAGAAAATTGGAGCAAGAGAGGTAGGGAGAGAAAAGAGAGAAGAGAGAGAAGAAGGGTGAGGGAGACAGAGAGAAGAGAGAAATAAAGAGCTGAGAAGAAGAGAGAGAAACAAGAGAAAAGAGAAAAAAATAAAGAGAAAGAATGAGAGAGAAGAGAGAGATAATAGAGAAAAAGAGATAGCGAAGAAGAATGTGTGAGAGACAAAGAGAGAAAGAGAGGTGAAAGAGACGAGAGAGAGAGAAAACAGAAGAGAGAGAAAAAGAATGAGAAAAGAGAAAGAGATAAAGAGAAAGAGAGGGAGAGAGAAAAGAGAGTGAGAGAAAGCAGAGAAAAAGAAAGAGAGAAGGAGAGAGTGAGAGAGACCAAGAGAGAAAGAGAGATAAAAGACAAAAGAAAGAGAAAAGACAGAAACAGAGAGACAAAAGGTAGAGCAACAAAGAGCTAGAGAAAGAATGAGAAAAGCGAGAGAGAGGAGAGAGAGAAACAGAGAGGAGAGAACAAATAAAAAGAGAGGGCAAGAAAGAGAAAAGAAAGAGGGAAATAAAGAGTGAGAGAGTGAAAATAGAGAGAAAGAAAGATAGCAACAGAGAGAGAGTGAGACAGAGCGAGAGGAGAGAGAAAGAGAGAGAGCAACAGAGAAAATAAATTGTGGGGAGACAAAGAGAGAAGAAGAGTGAGAAAAAAGAAAGTAAGAGAAGAATGAGAGAAAAACAAAGATATACTAAGGGAGAGAAAAGAAAGAAAAAAGAAAAAAAGGAGCAAGAGAGGTAAGGAGAGAGAAAAGAGAGAAGAGAGAGAAAAAAGACAGAAAAGAGAAAGAAATAAAGAGAAAGAGAGGGAGAGAGAGAAGAGAGCGAGAAGAAAAAGAGAAAAAGAAAGAGAGAAGGAGAGAGTGAGAGAGACAAAGACAGAAAGAGAGGTTAAAGAGACCAGAGTGAGAGAGAGAGAGAGAGAGAGAGAGAGAGAGAAAGAGAGAGTGAATGAAAGTATAACAGCATTCATTTCAATGACAACACTCTGTCAAATGATGTCCTGACTCGCTTGTCACCTGTCTCGCTGCGCCGCTCTAAAAAGGAGACAGACAGGTAGCCGGCGTGGGCGTGTGGGCGTGTGAGCAGCGGGCGAGACTTATTTGCATGTGTCAGAAGCAGCTGTGCTGTGAGCTGCTGTGTCTTATCCTTCCAGAAACTTCCATCAGCACCCCGGCCTGAAGGGTCCTCTCCATCTGCCCCATCTCCTCCACAGCTTTGCGCTCGGATGACGCGATTCCGGGCGACTTTTCATTAATTTCACTCATTCGCTCAGATCTTACATGCGCTGATTGCAATTAGCTGATTGGCGGAGAGACAGGGCAGTGCTCTGGCTAATCGGTGGAGAGAGATGTAATGGGCAGGCGAGCTGTTGGAGTAAAGGGTAAAGAGAAATGCTAATTGCATGGAGCGAAGTGTTTTCCCAAGTGTCCTTAAGATCAGGAAATCTCAGGCAACACTGAGAAAAGGCCTCAGTCATCACCTCCATCTGGTGTTCTTCAGAGAGAAGCGGAGACAAAGTGAGAGTGAAAAATTCATGATGGATCACAAAGCTGTTTAATTCCCGAGGGAAATCAGCTCCCTTCCCTCTGAATCTTCCCTCTGAATCTTTCTTTGCCACCACCTCTTTAACCCCCTGCTCTGGTAATGAGGCCAGGATTCGCAGCCCCCTGCTACCTGCTTCCCATCGTTTCTGTGATTAGAATACTTTTAATATGCTAATGATGTCAGAAATGCTTCCGCAGCGGAATGTCTGTTCTGTTGTGTGATGTCACAATGTGTTTATTTGGTAACGCTTTATTTGGATAGTCTACTTTGGATGCTTTGTAGATACTTAACCCTTGGAACCGTAGAATTTTTGGAGTAATTTTTTGGGGTATTTTGGGTCAATTACAACTGCAAATCACTGTTGTCGGAACAATTGAAGAACCATCTTTTTTGAGAGTGTAGGGCAGTAAAACTCAGTAAAAACTGAAGAACCATCTTTTTTGAGAGTGTAGGGCAGTAAAACACAGCAAAACCTGAAGAACCATCTTTTTTGAGAGAGTAGGGCAGTAAAACCTCAGTTAAATCTGAAGAACCATCTTTTTTGAGAGAGTAGGGCAGTAAAACCTCAGTTAAATCTGAAGAACCATCTTTTTTGAGAGTGTAGGGCAGTAAAAACTCAGCAAAAACTGAAGAACCATCTTTTTTGAGAGAGTAAGGCAATAAAACCTCAGTAAAAACTGAAAAACCATCTTTTTGAGAGTGTAGGGCAGTAAAAACTCAACAAAAACTGAAGAACCATCTTTTTTGAGAGAGTAAGGCAATAAAACCTCAGTAAAAACTGAAAAACCATCTTTTTGAGAGTGTAGGGCAGTAAAAACTCAACAAAAACTGAAGAATCATAACATGATTTGCATCATGACAGAGTTCTTTAGATTGATATAATAAAATATCCATGGATGTGCTATAGATGGTTCCATATAGAACCTTTTTGAAAAGGGTTCTATATAGCACCCAAAAGGGTTTATCTATTGTTACAAACTTGACACTGAGAAAATGCATGAAACAAGCCTAAAAAACAAACTCGAGCTCAGTTGAGCCCAATGTTTTATATTTTAACCAGCCCAAATCTTGATATTTTGCCGGGTCCCAGATCAGTTAGCTGACCTCTACTCTTAATACAACCAGTCTCTAATAACCACATTTGTCATTACTGAACTGGTTGAGTCCATTCAGTTAATTACTTGTTTGCACATATTGGTTGTATGTGCAAACAAGTAATTAACCAAATGGACTCAACTACATTTGTCATTACAAAACTGGACAGTGGAGGCTGGTGGCTTTGGACATTCACTGTGCTGGCCATGTGTTTCTAATGGCACTGGGCAGCGGTGATCTGACCGCTGTGGAGAATCACACAGGCTTTTAAAAAGCCGCTCTCATTCAGCGTCTCTTTTCAGCTTTCTCTACAGTGGCTTCTCCCGAGCTATTATCCCTGACATGTCACACATGAACATTTATATTCTCCTCTCTCTGCTGCCCCTTTGCTTTATTTTCTCTCTTTCCTTTCTCCTCTATTAGCTGCTCTTTTTCTCTGCTCCATTCTCACTCTCTCTTATTTCCTCCGCCTGTCTTTCCCAGCTATGCACTTACACTCACATGCTCTTGCTCTCTCTCCCATTCGTTCTCTCTCTCCTCTCTCTCTCTTTCTCTCTAAATGAATAGATCTATACCACAGTGACTTCTGCAGTAATGTGTTTTGACACAGATGGATGAAAAACTGTATTAGTACAGCACTCGCTTTCAAGGCACTTGAGGTCACTCAAACCAGAGCGGCTTCAGGCCGACTCCTGCTGGACTCTCCAAAGGACAGCCCAAGGATGGGGCTTTTTTCTGTATTTAAAGGTCACTGCAGAAAAAAAATATATATATATGTATATATAAAGAAACATTACTAAATTGGTAGATGCTGTTTCAATGCAGCACTGGCTATAAATACCTGTGCGTTGTGTGATGGGATTCATAGATTGAGAAAAGGTGGTACAGTGCAGTGAATGTCTTTTTCGATGTGTGGAAAATAAAGCAGATGTTAATGATTGGCAAAAGGTAGTGATTGCATTTGCACACAGCCACAGTGTGAAAAAAGTAGTTGAATTTGCAGGTGTATTGAAGCATACGGTCATACAGGTCTACCAGCAGTAGCAAAAATCCCAGTCTACAAGAAATTCTCACCAGAATCATGACTGAAAGACGAAACTGACCGACAGGCACCGCCGGCATGCTTCACGGCTTGAAAAGAAAAATCGCTTCCCTGTGGCATATTCTTTCAGAAATTGGTTGTGAAGGACCTGCATTGACTTCTAGAAGCAATTCTTGCCTGGAAGCAAAGCGTTTTTATTGACAAGCTCCCTGGACAAAAAATTAGCCACCTTAAACACGCAAGGTGACTAATTTTTTGTCCGGGGAGCTTAGGTGAACTACACAGTTGCCTAGAGCAGCACTTGCCTTATTCTGTAGGAGTGTCAGGAATTACTCAGGCTGTCCCTAATCCCGCTCCCACCCTTCATTAAACCCCACCCCTAAACAACTCATCAAATGTAGCTTAGCAACTGTAGATAGCTACAGCAGCTTCGTGAAGTAGATACTTATAAATCAGATACATATTTCAAGAGTTTGAAGAGGAGAGTGAAGTTCTACCAGTTTTCTAAACCGAAGACTCAAGATGAGAGGTGTAGGTGTGGATCGAACAGTATAGACCATCACATTACCAACTAAACTTGAGAAAAAAACAGATGTGATATGACTGATATGTGGCTAAGTGAGCTAAGTCAACTAACGCATGTGGCTTGTTATTGAAGCCTGTTTTTGTTAACTGGTTGAATTCAGTGTCATATTTAGCTGAAAGAAATAATGAGATTAAATGACCATAAAAGTCAAAGGCAGAAAAACAGTCACAATCATACTCTTACTCTGTCTGTGAAGAGGGAAGAGTCTAAAATGAAAGATAGTTTTGATTTGTTTAATACTTTTTTGGTCACTGCATAATCCCATAGGTGTATTTTAAAGTGATAATCTCATCACTGTTACTCTGAAATGTGGAAAATAGTAAAAATAAGAAAAACTATATATAGTAATTAACAAACAATTTATAATAATTATTGTACAGTAGTTACTGAAAAATGTATAATAATTGTTGAATAATTTATAGCAGGTACTGAATAATTTGTAGTAGTTACTGTATAAATTATAGCAGATATTGAATAAATTATAGTAGGTACTGAATGATTGATATCAGATACTGGATAATTTGTAGTAGTTGCACAATACTTTATAGCAGATATTGAATAATTTGAAGTAGTTACTGAATAAATTACAGCAGATACTAAATAATTTGAAGTAGTTACTGAATCATTTTTAGGTGTTACTGATTAAATTATAGCAGACACTGAATAATTTTTAGTAGTTACTCAATAATTTATAGTAGTTACTGAATAATTGATAATAGTTTTTGAATATTGTGTTGTACTTACCGCATGATGTATAGTAGTTGCAGAAAAATTCATAGTTTTAAATTAAACAAATAAAAGTAAATAATTTACTGCCACCATCATTCTCACTGCATGTTTGCAGTGTTTGCAGAGTTGTGTCTGTTTTCCTTCATTTGATGGAGAAAAAAGTGCCTAGAAATGGTTGAGCGGCATGTCATTCATTATTTTGCAAATGGTCAATTCACAGCTTACAGTAAATAGTAGCATAATTTAATAACATAATTTAAGCTCAGATTGAAAAACGAGTGTTTTTAGTGATGCTCACTCACCCGTCTAATAATGACTCATAGTGCAGTGTTAATTTTGGGTAAACTGACCACTTTTTAATCGATTTAAAGCCCTTAACTATAAACCTGAAGTAAAGGCTCCTCTGCATATTGTAATATTGACACATGAGAGAGAGATAGATTATATGAATGAGTGAGTGAATGATCATGAGTGTGTTTGTATGAATGGGTGATTATGTAAACCATTCAATGTGTGTTTCCGTTAAGCTGAATTTTGTAGAACATAACATAAAAGAAAGGCTTTAATTATTTATGCTAAACGTCACATCTCCCTTCAAGTTCACACTGAACCGTTTTTTCCTCCAATAAAATCTTCAAGCGCAACACTTTATGTGCCCTCAGTTATGTTGATGTAGTTTTCAGTTGCTTGTGTGCTTTAGTTCAGTTTTGGAAGATGCACTTTACTGCAGCCTGGAGCTGTGGAGCAGGAGTTGGAGTGTGTATCTGGAGTGTGTGAGTCAACCACAGCCCCTTTAGCAGACGCCGCACTGAGGCAGCGACGTTACGCTGGGATAATGCGCTCTCATGCATCATAAAACTCATAAATGCAGGAAAATCAGCTTTGGCTGTTTATTTTGTCCTTGAGATGTTTGATGTTGAGCTGCAGGGATGCAGTGGCCACGGCTAATCTGGACTTCCCTCACTTGCGTAACTCATACTTATGACTATGAAACACAAACTTAACCTCTAAACCCTCAGGAGTCACAGTTAGCGCTGGCAGTAATAAGTGTGGTGCCTTTGAATATGAATCATTTCTCAGTTGTAGCTCAATGAAACAAGAACACTGAAACAGAACCACATTTGAGGAAATATTTCATTATGATTTGACCCTGTTGATGCAGAATGCAAATCAAATGCGAGTGTAATTCATAGCAAGTCATTATAAAACTGCGTTCAAAGCCGTTGCAACATCCACAATATATGCACACCTATGACCACCTCACAACAACTGGATTGTGTATTACTGCGCCGTGTCATGACAAAAACCCCTGTGCTGTTAATGGAATGATCTTTGACTCTAATTCTGCTCACATGGACCACTGATTGTACTGATGAAGAACCCGGTTCTGTTTAAACGGAGGGGTTTACATCTTATTTTCTCAACTAGAACTTATCTGGTCTTCCAGCTAACAGGCGAAAAGATAGCTAACATGCTAAACAACTCCATCATTAATATCACTGGCTTGAATTAAAGTACTTATGATATGCTTCACTGTGAAACAGCTAAAAAAAACTCTAAAAATGTTTCTTGAATGTCTTACAAATTTCAAATGTCCATGTTTCAGTCAGAAGTAGCATCAAACCCAGGCTGAATCCCAAACAGCTCCATATTCCCTAAATAGTGTTCTATCTACAGCCAAATAGTGCACTATTTGTTTAGTGTGGAGTCCCAAATGACTTTTAGTTATATTATGCTCTGTTAGGCTGCAGGATCCAGTATTTAAATTCCTACGTAGTGCACTATGTAGGGAGCAGGGGGCCATTTGTGATTCAGTCCCCAGCGTGAGAAGACGGGACGCCGCTGGATTGGTGCTAAATAAGACTCGTTGCGGTGGTGATTTAGTGACTAAAAATTACTTAGAAGTTCTAGGGTTGTTAACTGAATGCAGTTTACAGAACTAAATCACATTAAATGGTTTTAAGTCAAGGTGGTTGGTTTTCCACAGTGTGCTCAGTCTCAGCATCTCTTTCCTCCTGCAGGATTTGGAAATATTTCGCCTCACACGGAAGGGGGCCGAATATTCTGTATCGTCTACGCTCTGCTGGGAATCCCCCTGTTCGGCTTCCTGCTGGCCGGAGTGGGCGACCAGCTGGGGACCATATTTGGCAAAGGCATTGCCAAAGTGGAGAAAATGATTGTGGTGAGTTTTACATAACGTTTCATAGATTCACTGAGCTGAAGTGCTTCATGTCTGCATGCAGTCTTTTATGTTGTTTTCCAAATGACAAGGAAACAGAGAAGCAAAGGTTTGTCGTTACTCTTGCAAACCCTAACACAGCTTCTAAAATTGAGAGTGGACCACCACCCAAAATTATCCAAAAAAAGTGACCCTGTGGAGAAACTGGCCACTGATGAAGAGCTAGAGGATCGATAACAATCAGTGCATAAACAGATGGATTACAGGCTCTAATTGTACACCGGCGAAGTAGAGCTACAAGTGAGGGGTGTCTAACAAAGTGGCCAGTGACTATAATTGGCACTGATACTGTATGTACAGTATTTTGTTTTCATTTGTTTTAAACTGAAGCACTTTCTTTACAGATGTACTGTGTTGTGATCTGTTTGGAAGGACAAATACCTGAAAAGGTTGAAGTGGAAGTGAAATAAATTCATTTCAATATAGCTGGTCCACAGGGTGATCTGGGAAATGTGTCCTACGTTTCCATAACAACCACATCTGAAGTTCCTCTCCTGTGCCATTTAAAACATTTATGGCACGGTTTCTCTTTTCCCCTCTCTCTCTCTCTCTCTCTCTCTCTCTCTCTGTCTCTCTCTCTCTCTTTTCCTCTCTCTCTCTCTCTCTCTCTCTCTCTCTCTGTCTCTCTCTCTCTCTTTTCCTCTCTCTCTCCTCTCTCTCTCTCTCTCTCTCTCTCTCGCGCGCTTTCCCTCGCTGTCTCTCTTTTCCTCTCTTTTCCTCTCTCTCTCTCTCTCTCTCGCCCTCTCTCTCTCTCGCTGTCTCTCTTTGCCTCTCTCTCTCTCTATCTCTCTCCCTCTCTCTCTGCCTCTCTCTCTCTCTCTCTTTCTCTCTCTCGCGCGCTTTCCCTCGCTGTCTCTCTTTTCCTCTCTTTTCCTCTCTCTCTCTCTCTCTCTCCCTCTCTCTCTCCTCGCTGTCTCTCTTTGCCTCTCTCTCTCTCTCTCTCTCTCTCTCTCTCTCTCTCTCTCTCTCTCTCTCTCTCTGTGCAATCTGCCAACATCACAATAAGCTGAAATGCCAAGCGGGCAGCTTTGGGAATAAGACATAATGCTAGTTTTTTGCTTCAAGAGAGAGGAAAGAGGCTCTTTCACACGAGCTAATGCACACTGTACTCACTCTAAATATGCCCTCACAGGGAGATCAAACTGCCTCGTTTTTGCTTTATCGCGCCTCTGCTCATGTTTATCACGAGCTGATCTGGGAGAGTTTTGCAGCATGTCTGCCAGATTTGAACGGCTATCTGTTTTGGGGAAGAAGGAGCAGATTTCAAATACCAGCTGTCCATTTTTCCTCCTAGTGAATCACAGAGGAGTGATGAGGTCTGAGATGGTGCTGATACTCAACCTCCTTCTCGTGCACTCTAGGGCTCACAATTCCGCAATAAAAAACAATTACTCTGTACTAAATCAATCAGTTAAAATAGGTGTTCTCAGTGAATTAGCTTAGTGACTAGTTTGCAATGTGAACGATAAACCGGCTCAGTACAAAGCTATGTTTAACAGACTCTCCAGTAGGGGGCTCTGTTAAGTCACTTTTTCACTGAAAGGGAGGAAACTCACACCAGCAGGATCCCATGAGTAAATGTATGTTTAGTTACAAATTTAATGTATATGAAGTAAGTCCTAATTTAGTTAATCTATTTTTATTGATTAGCACACTTATTATTCAATTAATCAATTGATTACTAGTCTAATAGTGACAGCTCTAGTACACTCAAAAATGTCAAAAATGGTTCTTTTATCCATGAAACTATGTAGTTTGAGGTGTTAAAAACTCTGAATGTCCTTATATTTTCAGAAATATATGGAAATATATTTTGGTGACTGTAACATGGTTAGCATAGATCTGGTGTAGTTTTCTTTTGTCATGGACTCTTATCCTGCCTTTTAGTTATACAAATAAGATGGTTCTTCAAGGGTTCTTTAGTAACAGCAATGCTTCTTTGTATGGTGGGATGGTTTTTCAGATTGATGGAGAATGTGTTGTATATGGTTCTATATGGAACCTTTTTAAATGGTTCTATATAGCACCATTCCAGACACTTCTGCTGTTACCATGTCTAGCTTATAACAACAGAAGGACACTTTTTGGTGCCATATAGAACTATTTTCAAAAAAGTTCTATATAGAACCATATACAATACATTCTCCATCAATCTGAAAAACCATTTCGTCATGCAAAGAATCATTTAAGCATGCAAATAGAATAGAACTCATGGTTCTAAATAGAACCATCGCCTTTAGTAAAGAACCATTGTAAAAACATCCTTTTTAAATATCTAAAGATTTCCGCCTGTATTTGTCTCTTTTCTCTTTTTGTCTCTTTTTGTCTCTTTTTTACGGCAAGTACAACCTAGAAAATGTCAGCAAGTTCCTTAAAGTAACTTCATCCATGCTGCAGCAGTGACTGGTATATAGGCAACGACACTAGCTTAGCTCTAAATACCTGAACTCCCGGGATGTTCAGAATCCAAGCCCTTTCACATTCCTCCCATTAAGTCTTGTTGTAGACAGTTCATCAGAGACTCGTTCAATTCATCAGCCTGCAGGCAGATCGGCTTCGTTACCTGACCTGCTCTGACCGATGGTAGGTCAAATCTACAGCAGCCTGCAGCCCCACAAGCCTTCATTAGGGAAGACTATAGCCCTGCCTTTCTTTCCTTCGCACATATATACATGCTGTAAGCCTTGTTCCTGGAATAAATTGAAGTCTTCAAGTCACCTGCAGCCATGTGAGATCATCTTTGTGCACCTCCCCAACGTTCTCATACATACACTTACAACAAAGGCTGAACCTACGTGGAATAAATTCCCTGATACTGCAGATAAGAGGCCAAATTAAGCCTTTAGACAGATAATTATAAGACAGTTTTTTCCATTCCCGCTGCTAAGACCTCTTGCACTGCACATATTGGAGTTCAGCCAATTACACAGAGCTTCCATATTGCTGGGTAAGCTTGGTGAAGCTGCTTGTACAGTTTTATTTGCTTTCTGTAATTGGAAATACCATCATTTTACTTCTACTTTTGGAAGGTTGGTGGGATGCCACAGTTTGGTTAATAATGTCATTTTAATAATAGGCAATGATTTAGCTAATAGCATGGTTTTGGGGCACTACAGTAACATTCTATAACTGAGAAAAAACAGCTGTCATGTAATGACTACATATATAAATATCACATGATCCAGCCATTTAGTGGACACATGCGGCTGTGCCCCCTATGTACTATATTTTGCCCTTGCCTAATTAATAATAAAGTGGGCAAAAAGGGCTTCAATGGAGCAGTGCCATTGAAGAACCACTTTTGGTTACATAAAGAACCTTTCAGTGGATGGTTCTTTAATGCAGTGGTTCTCAAAACAGTCCTCAGAGACTTCAAGCTTCAATCTAACGCCAATTTCTAAATATTAAACAGCACTGATAACCAGGAGAGAGTAAGTGGTTAGGGTTAGCTTAGCTAACATGCTGCTTGATTCTGACTAACAAAAGCTTTGCTGACACAAATTTAGATGATAATGACTCAAATCTGAGGAGGCGAAGTTGAGCGGCTGATGTTAAAGGAACGGAAAGCCGAAATTAAACCTGTTCTCTGGTGTCTGGAGCTGGAGCCTCATAGCTAAGCTAATGCTAGCCAGCTCCTCTCTCCACGTTAACTTATCATAGAGATCCAAAAACCCCAGTGCAGATTCAATTTGATCAACTGGTGCTTTGTTTTCACAGGTATAGATGATGAAAACTTACGACGGCGAGAGCAAAGATAACTGATTGATGGTAGAATGACCGAAAGCTGCAATTCCGTTCTGTAGTGCTTTAAGCTGTGGCCTGCTAGGCTAAGCTAATGTGAGTGTACAGTGCCTCACACCGTGATTAAAAACACCCGTTCAGAGGATAAAGACTCGTATCTGAGAGCACAAATTTGAATGACTGGTGTTAAAATGACAGAAAGATAAAAAAAAAAAAATACAACTGTCTTGTGGTGCTTTGAGCTGTACCCTGCCAAGCGATGCTAATGTAACTAGTTATCCGGCTACAGGTGAAACCTACCGCAGTACAGGCTGTTTCAGTAACAGGTGCTCAAATAGCACCAGTTTAGAGGATAAAGAAGATGAGAGCATGCTGAGAGACTGGAATTGAGGTGACAGACGGAATCAAACGTGGTTTTGTGGTGGGTGGTGTGTGCACGGCTATTAGCCTGTTAGCCAGGCGGTTAGCCACTCGTTTGTGTAGTTTTCCTGGGTATTTCCTGTTTCTGTATTAGTGGTACAACAGATGGAAAAAGAAACAGTAACCGGCCTCACAAGTCCAGACCGGCACGGAACAGCCCAGTATGGCCCAGCTCAACAGTGAATAGAAAAGCAGCCATTGTTTTCATGATTTCAATTTTAAAAATGAGATGGTCACATGTGAAGAACCTTTTTGAAGAAACTCTGCACAATGTGACATCCACCTACTATCAGTTTTTTTTTTAGTTTGAGCTGTATATTCAAGCTAAGAACCATTTATTTTTAAGAGTACAGGTAGTCAAATCCATTTGTCTTGATTGAGAAGATCATTGAGGCATGTTTCAGAGGTAAACTGCTCTGCCAGAATTCGTATTGAAGCTTTAGCTCATTTGTTTTCAGGAGTTTGCTTCAGTTTAGGCTGCTATTATTGGCTCCAGCAAGGCATTCGCATGGGGACTCCACGGCCTCTCGTACCAAACAAGATAACGTATTCTCGTTGCGTTCCTGAGATCCATATAAAATACGGAAGGAATGGCCGGGCCTGTTTTCTCCTGCGGTTCCTCCCTCCATATCCAATATTTACAATCAGGAGCACTCTCAGTGCCGTGCTGACTCTCACACCAGAGTGAAGTGAAACAGGCATCTGGGATGAAGAATCTGCCTGAAAAACATCCAGCTAGCTGCAGCTTGATGCTTGCGTAACTACAGACAGAAGGGATCAAG